TTGTTCATTTTCCCCGGCACCATTGGGTTAAGGAGGCAAAGGCCCCTATATAACCTGGATACGAGTGCATATATTGTTCTCCCGTGTATTACCGATATTTCTCGCCCCCCTCCCCAATTCCCTGATATGTATCATGCCCTCGCCTCCTATCGGACCAATATCGTAGCTGTGCTTTGTTTGCGAAGGAAATGAGCGCTAAGATTCGTGCGAAACACGACGAAAACTACAGGAAAAATATATCGTTCATCGCAAAGTCGGTGTGGGTCGTCCCTTCCAAATTTACCAAAGATAAAATATTTAAGAAAGTACACATATCAGTAGTATTTATTGTATGAAAAAGAAGTAAAAGTAAAAAAGTAAACCAGAAATGCCCTGACTAGGTGATTTTGAGGGGAGACTATGATATAACTACATTTCAGGGGCAACTACGACATTGCTACACTCTCACTCTTACTCCCACTCCCTCTCTCTCTCTCTCTCATTCTCTCTCTCTCTCTCTCTCTGTCTATCTATCTATCTATATATCTATCTATCTATCTCTCTCTCTCTCTCTCTCTCTCTCTCTCTCTTCTCCGCTCCCTCTCACTACAACATTACTACACTCTCACTCTTACTCCCACTCCCCCCCCCCTCTCTCTCTCTCTCTCTCTCTCTCTCTCTCTCTCTCTCTCTCTCTCTCTCTCTCTCTCTCTCTCTCTCTCTCTCTCTCTCTCTCTCTCTCTCATTCTCTTTCCCTCCCTCCCTCTCTCCTTCTCCATCTCTCCCTTCCCTATCTCTCTCTCTCCCCTTCTCCCTCTTTCCCCTCCCTCTCCTCTCCCTCGTTCCCCTCCTCGCCTTCTCCCTTTCTCCCCTCCCTCTCTACCCTCCATCCCTCCTTCTCACGATCTATCTACCAGTTTCGCTCACGCATCAACCTCCACGATCCTATTAACTCACATTCCACTATAAAGCGCTTGATCTTCCTTTAGATATCGTTCGGCGTTCTTGTGAAATAAGTGGTCGTGTTTCCTGGACTGACGCATCAACGTGTCTGGGTCGTTTCTTAATATCGTCTTGCATTGGCAAACATTCCTTGTCTCTACTCAGATTGAGGGAACTGGGTACCGATACTGATTTACACGCACACGCACGTACGCATACACACATACGCACACACATACATTATATATGTGTGTGTGTGTGTGTATGTATTTATTTATTTATTTATTTATTTATATATGGCAGAGAACTACAAGGGTACATAATGGGTTTCTTAATCAAATTCACTGAAATTCATTTATCCAAAAGTGTGACTCATTGCGACAAATGGCCATATTTTGAGTACATAGCAACGGAAATCTTCAGGTTGGCCGCGTTTACTATTCCATGTTTTGCTTAAATTTAATATGCCATTTTCGTTACAGAAAAAAAACGATGTGAATGGATTACAGAATTAATATCAAAGGAAGTTTATTTATTTATCATGTTCAGCTATAAAATGGTAGATTTTTTTTAAATTAGGAATGATTTAAACACGAACAGCAGTATGTCTTAATGTATCAATTAATTTATCACTATTTCAAATGCTTTTTGTCATGAAAACTATTTAAAAGGATTAGATTAATGCAACACAGTTTGCTCAGTCACAGAAAGAAATCTATTTCATGAATTATTCTTTCAGTTTACGGATCAAACTTACAAAGGCGTTTTTCTTAACAGTGGCTTCTAGGACACTGGCCTTTCTTGATAGATAGATAGGTATAGATATGTATGTGTGTGTGTATGTATGTATGTATGTATGTATATATATGTATGTATGTATATATATGTATGTATGTGTGTATGTATGTATGGATTTATGTATGTATGTATGTATGTATATATATGCATGTATGTGTGTATGTGTATGTGTATGTATATGTACACACACACACACACACACACACACACACACACACATGTATATACATATATATATATATACATACACACATACATGCATATAAATACATACATGCATACACATATACATATCTATATCTATTTATCGACATAATATATATACATATATGCATATATATAAATATATATATACATATACATATACATATATGTTTGTGTGTGTGTGTATAGATAGACATATATATATATATATATATATATATATATATATATATATATATATATATATATATATATATATATATATATATATATATATATATATATATGTATATATATATCCATATACGATACTGCCGCGATAGCTCAGTGGTTAGAGCATTGGACTCCGACCCTCGTGGTCCCGGGTTCAATTCCCCGTCGCGGCGGTCGTAAAAATGCCTGCGCACTGACTGCTTGCTCGAGCCCGAGAAAACGACATATCGCCTTGAGAAGTCAAACGCAATGTCGTAGGGGAAGTCACCGCCGTGGCATAAGTGTTAGCGCGCCGAAGCGCGGTTGATTAGGAAGAGCATCCAATCAGGCAAGGGTGACACTGCCATATAACCTCTCAATACTG